AATTTCTTTTAAAGAATTCTCTTCTGCTCATCAAAGCTGCAATTATTTGATCAAAAATACAATAAAAACAATAATATTGTGCAGTATTACAATTTAAAATACCTGTTTTTTTATTTTAACATATTTAAAATTTTAATTTTTTTTAATTTAATTTATTCCTGTGATGGCAAAGCTGGATTTTTCAGCAGCCATTACTCCAGTCTTCAGTGTCACATGATCCTTCAGAAATCATCCTTGACAATCAATATTGAGAACAGTTGTGCTGCTTAATATGATTCAAATATGCATATACATCTGCTGCAGATACATTTTGTCGGGATTCTTTGATTACTACTAGAGAGCTCAAAAAGAACAGCATTTATTTGATATAGAAATGTAAGTCTTCACTTGTTACTTTTGATTAATTTACTGCATTCATGCTAAATTAAAGTATTAAAGGGTTAGTTCACCCAAAAATGAAAATTCTGTCATTAATTATTCACCCTCGTGTTGTTCCAAACCCGTAAGACCTTCGTTCATCTTTGGAACACAATTTAAGATATTTTTGATTATATCTGAGGGCTAAGTACCTAGAAAAGTACCAAGATGATCGACAAAGTAGTCCGTGTGACATCAGTGGTTCAACTGTAAAGTTACGAAGCTACGAGAATACTTTTTTTGCACAAAGAAAACAAAAATAACGACTTTATTCCACATTCGCGTTCACGACAGTACCATGACGCCGGATCTGGGTCAGCGCCGCCACACGCTCGCGTCATGATACTGTCGTGAACGCGCATCCACAAGTGATCATCTTGGTACTTTTCTGGACCTTGAACGTGGTAGTTACCTTGCTGTCTATGGGAGGGTCAGAGAGCCCTTAGATTTCATCAAAAATATCTTAAATTGTGTTCCAAAGATGAACGAAGGTCTTACGGGTTTGGAACAACACGAGGGTGAATAATTAATGACAGAATTTTCATTTTTGGGTGAACTAACCCTTTCATTTCTTTCAAAACGTTTGAATGGTAGTGTATATTCGCACTTGTCTTTTATTGAGTATAGCTTACATTTTGGTATTTGTTTTGTAAAATGCCTTGAGAAACTTGCTGTTTAAATAAAAAATTAAGTTTATTTTTAATAATGATATTATTTATTATTTAACAATTTATGCATGCATATTTATATAGTAATTATGAAATAATTCAATTAAATATTACATTTATGTTATTTTATTTATTATATTCTGAAGTAATGTTGTTTCTGCTAAGCCTTGTGGTGTATTTTTAACATTTTGCACAAGAGGGTGCTGGTGTAAAGATAATAAATAAGTGTTACAGTAACAAGGCGTGTGTCTAAACTCATGTGTGTCTATTTTTTATCAGACAATAATCTACCTGAGTACCCTGACTTTGATGCTGAGAGTCGGTTAAGAAAAGGGCATCGGGCTAAGCAAAAGGTGAGACTACATACATGCATACAGAAATACACATACATATTTACTTGGGTTGTGGAGGCATTTTGTTCCATAGACTTTTTTTAACTTTTAACCTCAAAATGTTTGGTTAAAATTCATACGACTGTGTAGGGAGAGTGCATCTCTATAACTGGCCACCATTTCTGAACGCCTTATTTATTTTAAACACTTCTACAGTGTGATAGTAATGTACAGTAATCATAGAAGAATTAGCATGCTCTTTAAACTAGTTAGCATGTTATCTGCAACTTTCCATTATTTCATACCCTGCCTACATCACATAAAGTTGCTTAAAAATGTCTCTCTCTCTCCCTCTCCAGGATTCCCAGTATTACAGCGTTGATCTTGAAAGGGGGCCAACAGGGTTTGGTTTTAGTTTGCGAGGTGGAAGCGAGTATAACATGGGTCTGTATGTGCTCGGTCTAATGGAGGGTGGACCGGCCTCACGCAGTCAGAAAATGCAGGTTAGTTTACACACACACACACAGTAAATTTTATTGGGCACAATAAATAAACCTTTCACTTGATTCTGTTAGGGATGTTTGAAAGTGTGACTCAAGCACTAGGAGCAGCACTGAGTCATGTTGTGAAGATTATGCTGAGGCATGCTGGGATTAGGTTCTGTCGTTGACATTACGCTGAGTCACAGAGGGTTTTGCTGACTCATATTGCAGGTGAGTGATCAGCTCGTGGAGATTAATGGAGACAGCACAGCTGGGATGACACACAGCCAGGCCGTGGAGCAGATCCGAAAGGGAGGAGCCTGGATACATCTCATACTGAAGAAAGGCGATGGATACGTACCAGATTATGGTGAGGGGAGAAAGAGTAATGTATAGGAATAGAAGGTTTGAGAAATTTAGGTTCATGTAAGAGTAATGATCGACCGATGGCCAAAATATTTTACAAAAGTTTTGCTTCCCTCTGATAGTTACCAGGTTTACATCTGTAGATCAGATTCGTCTAGTCAGGGCCATAGGCAGATGATACGTTTGTCCATTAAACTTGGTAGAAAAACAAGGTGATGACAGACATTCAGGACTTTTCCAAAAACATTCAGGATATAAGTTCAATCTTCTAGCTTCTTAACTGTACTTTTTGCAACTCTGCATTGGATTTTTCCTCTTGATTTACTTCTTTCTCTTCCTGTCTTTCACAACTTCATACTTTCGCTCTCTTTCTCTCTCTTGAACTCTCCTCCAGTGGAGCTTTCCAGCTTATCTCTTTGTATGACTAACTCGAAGCAGGGCGAGCCTTGCTTCTATGTCATCGGCCGGACAGAAAACACGCGGTTGGTAACCGTTCCTCGTTCCTGTTGGTTGTCATTTTGTCTTTCTTAATGTTCACTTTGTGATCTCACAGTTCTCATACTCCCTCTATATATATATATATATATATATATATATATATA